ACGAAGCAACTATTCAGGAGCGAATGAAATGATAAAACAAGTTATATACAGTCCATTTCGAGCATCCCACAAATTATTTCTCACAAGAGACTCATGACAGACATTAGGAGACATGTATACATAACGAATGAGCAATGTTGCTGAAAATATTTTCTTATTTGATATTCTCAGATACGACCAGACCAATCGCTTTCCAGATTTTGAGCTTGCATGTCGTGCGGCCTTATGTCTGAAGTAATTACAAGGACTGCTCTGGATTTCCGAATTTTGGAATCTTACTCTGTAGAGCGGAGAGGGGACGTGTGACGACAGAAAGGAGCCCAGCTTAAATCTGTCAGAACCTATTAGAAGCGGATCTGCTCGCGACAAGGATGCACTTTGTTGAAGTAGTTAGTGCTTAAAGTGTTCCGAGGAATCATCTCTGTTATATCGGACAGCATTAATATCTAGGACAAGCAGAACTGTTAAATTTAACGCATTCCAGACGTCTGTGAGGAACGACAGCAGTAGTGACAGTAACGGTGGCTATATACGTTTTAGTTCACGTTCTGATGGTGTATTTTGGGGCATGCTAAGTAACAGCAGAAATAAGATTGCAGCATTTTGGATCTTCACCAGAGCAGGTTTCTATATTCTATCATTCCGATGATAATTTGACGATTGCGTTAGTCAAGCATACGTAGTCCACGTATGTTTTCAGTTGCTTCCCCTGGACTTTCTTAGATGTCACTTCATTTCACGTTTCATGGCTGTTTCTTCTTTCGGGTCCCGGAGGCATACGTGTCAGACAGTGCTTCCAGCTTTCTCAGATATCAGTGACAAAGTCAAGCTTCCGTGAGCTCATTTGTCGTAAGGCAAAAGAGTCTCAGGATTTTGTTCTCCTTTCGGCACACACAGCAGACGAGATTCACAAAGAACACTTGTAAGTACGAATTAAAGTTGAGTCTAACGAGTTAAATAAAGTCTGATCAGGCAGTGAATGCGGGCGTAAGTCGAATTGCAGCGTCGAATATGCATTGTATTTATTCGATTTAGGTGTTGGTATCTGTGATGTTTGGAATCGAAATCCCAGCTATTAGCTTATTTTCAAAGCAGTGTCCTAAGACTGCACGGGCGGCGTTGATAATATATAAGCGTTTATATTATATGAATCTGAGCTTAAATTTAATGGCATAACTAAACCATGTACTGATGTCGATATCAGATAGTTTGGTTTCGAGTACTTTTCTGACCTCACGTCGAGGTAACCGATAGCCATCTGCGAGTAATATCGAGGCCCAGCTTGGTACCACCGTGTGAACAGAAAAAATTTAGGAAACATGAAAGTGCATCGAAGACCAGCAAGAGGCACACCGGACAATTACGCACGCCGATGAAGGTCAGTGGCGATACCCATCATTGGAAAAGAAAAGCGTGAAGTGTGTAACCGATATAATGCCGGTGTTTTGTACACTTGTAGGAACTGACGCCATTTTCGGCGCCCTTTTCATGAAGCTTATTGTGCGACGTTGACATGCGTTTCCCAACAACAGAAAAGCCATGATTTCAGATCATATTAACATGTTATTAGGGTTTGCTGCACCTGACTCTTCTGACGGTGAGTGCAAGGCCGTATCCATTTGGCTCCCAATTTCAGTACGAATTGAGTATCCTTAATCCGAAATGCCTGGGACCAAGATTGTTTCGGATTTTTCAAGATTTTGGAATACATGATATGATGGAGTTAAAGAGAATTGAGAAAAA